TCCCATGGAACCTGGTCGGCACCGAATCCCTCTCTGCGGAAACCTCCAGTGGTACAATCTACACGCCCTCCTCTTACAGACTCGGTCCAGCATATTCCCGTTGCTTTTCCTGGGCCATGGGATCAACCCCGTCTTTATTCGTCTCCAGGCTGGCAGGAAACACAGCCAGTAACGAAGTACCTCCAGCAGTCCTCCCGGGATCTTCCTACAGTGCCCCCTGTGCCTCGAAGGCATGCTCCCATGTTCACACCGACAGAACCTCCATACACTGCGGCACCGCAGGATGCATCCTTTATTTTTTCTGTTGCTAAGGATGTTTGGGGAAAGGTTCCACCACCCCCTGGCTTCACTGTCCCCTGGAGACTCGCTGTTCCTTCTACCGGTGTTCAGAGCCCCTTCACCTTGCCTGATCCACCGGCTATACCCATTGATCTCCAGCGTGAGTACCTGACAACGACGTTTCCAGCACCCGCGCCTTCTGGGGAAAGCTTTACGTCTCTTCATCATAGTCATGCTTTCCAACAATCACCTCCCGGATCTTCATTTACCGCCCCCCCATCTCCCAAGCCTGCTCAAGGACCGTCTTTGGAATTTCCGACGTTTGCCGTCCAAAGGACCATCTCACGAACTGCGCAGCATGTGGGTGCACCTCTTCGTCTATCGTCTCGAGGTCGGCGACAGACAAGGACCACGCAGTTTGGTGCCCGTGTAGACTCTCAGCAGATTGAGGGTGAGGGTGCCCAAGGAGGCACTTTCGCAGAGTCCATGCTCGAGACGAGACTGTTTGATCCGCTTGCGCCCCTGATTGCTGAAGCATTTCCAACGGCCGGGCCTATCGGGGTTGCGGGGGTTGAGCGGAGAGTGCACGGGGAACATTCGCCTTCTCACCCACCTTCTCCCTCTGGGGCCAGCTAGGAAATGTTTCCGGTAAGTAAACGCAGCCTACCACTGCCCTCAGGTAGCCAGGGAGCCTCGCCAGCCGCTGAGTTGGCACCGTAGACACAGATGGGCGCACCATGGAGCCCGTGCAAAGACGCCGGGCACGGTAGTAGGCAGTGATGACTCTTTCAAATTTGCTAGCCAGACGCGAGCCTCTGTCAGCGTTCAGTGGTTTCCCTGCCTTCAGCTATGTGGCTTCGTATCTTCCACGGTATCTGCTCTAGTAGACGTTCAACAGTAGCCGAGGGAGGAACTCCACTGATGGGAAATTCCTCAAACGATGCATTCAGGTGTACGTACTTTCTCGGCAAGAATTGCGTAATGCTTGTAACCTCCTGCGTGCTCTGGTTCCAGAGGAAGCGCTATCTGAATGCGAAGAAAAAAAGCGCCGCACGGTGTTTTTTGTTGGATTTGGTGGAACTGATAGTCGTCCGACATGCAAGATAGCTGGATTGTAATACGACATTACACTCGGGTTGCCATATCTGAACACGCGCAGCTGTGCCTGGATTCCTGGCTTCCGCTTTGCAACACCCGGCACAGTTTTACAGTCAAATCTCTCCACAAGACACTGCCAATCCTGTGCTGCAGCCGAAGGTGCCGTTTTTGTGTTCGTGCTTATTTTAGAGTGTTTGGCTGTTGTATGCTTGCGTCTATTGTAACTTTCTCTTCCTCGCTCGGCTCTGAGGAGAGCGTATCACTGTTGGTCAGCGGCTAAATCCTCCAACGAGTTTGCAGTGCACTTACAGTACCGTCACTTGGTCCTGCCTGCCAACAAGCCTTCGATGTTTTGCTAGGAGCGAATTGCATATGAGCGCTTCTAGCTGCCCTGGAGGCCCGCAATGTTACCCTAAACAAAGCAACCGCAAGCCTGTAGCAGTCCTGCAGGCTGCTTGTTCTTTGATTTGGCTCCCGTCTTTGTACTTGACAATCAGAGGGCTTGAAGACAACAGGCTTCGCAACTCAAACACTGGGGTGCCTACATACCCATAACCATCAGAACTTCTGCATTTTCACTAGAACGTTCCTTATAGCTTCGCCTCTGGTCTCCAGGGCTGTCTCCTAGGGGAGTCTGAACCGGCGGGTGTTGCTGATACAAGGTTTAGCTGACAGAGCAGCTCAAAATCACATAGAAACTCGGTAGCCTCAGAACGGGGAAACGGCGAATGGAGCCAAAGACCACTTTTTGCTGGATGCTACGGGGCTTCAAAAGAAAAAATTACGTTGCTCGCGCGTCTACCTTCACCCATCCATCACGCTCACAGGCATCTGAAAGGAGGTGTGCGGCTTTTGCACATGGGACATGCATGCCTTTACACAGGCATACACTTATGAACATGCAGACCTGTACACATATATGCGCATGCACACCAGCATATGCACATACTGATGCATGAGCGTACATAACCACAAGCGTTCCCAACAGTACCCCCATACGCGCGCCTTTACCTATACGTGAACACACTTATGCATGAATACAGGTGCACATACGAATGCTTACACATGCATAGGCATACATCTGCTTCTCATTACCTTGTTCTCGTGTGAGAATGTGCATGTTTATGAGTATGGATTAATGTGGACGAAAAGGTTAGTAGCTGCATGCACTCACGCATGCATGTTTTCAGCATGTGCATAAATGCATGGGAACGTGAACGAAGCACTTGAAAGCTTTTCCGCAGGTATGCTTGCACTTATATGCACATGCTTATGTATGCACGTACGTGCACACATGTGTACGAAGATATCTGCTTAGGTATACCGGGAGAAGCACGCGTAGATGCACGCATGTACACACAAACGCATATGTGTCCGCAACCATACGCCCACCC